CAGTTAGGATCAAGTTTCTAGGGCCCCATTTTAGAAACTAGCATAGCTCAAATCATACCAAGCTTAAGAGCATTCCATGACAAGCAACAGAAGCTTTGCAAACTATGGTCAGAAGGCACATTTCATGACCTTTAGCCTAAGAAACATCAGGTGGCTTGTTGGTTGTCTCTTGAGGAGTGGCACATAGGAAAATCAAAAGGAGCAGCACCAAAAGCATTGGGAACTGTGACGGAAATTCCATATTGCAAAGGTGTCTCCATAAAGAATAAAGAAAACCACAAGACAGTCCTTTAGCCCAGAGGTTCCCAAAGGAGTTTCCTCCCTTGAGCTAGGATCTCCTGAGGGTTCTCACAGGTTTGTTGGAAGATAGTGAGGCTGAAGTGGTTGGAATCACAAATATGTGAACTTATCTTTTCAAGCATATTGCTAAATAACGTTATTTAATTATCCCTACCTAGGACCCAGCAATTTAGACAGCAAACATTTGCTAACAGAAATTTGCAAGACACCAAATCATTTTTTCATATGTGACATGTCAGAGTAGAGAGAAAACAGTAAATGATACATCTTTTTGTACACTTGAACATTTTAGTAAAGCACTATATGAGCTTCAATTTTTTAAAGTGTATTAAGACACGTATTGCTATCTTAGATGTGAGAAGAAAAAAAAAGGGGGAAAAAGCAGCTTAGAATCTCTTGAATGTATATTTTTCATAACAAACATATGCTCTTGCAGTGTAATTTCCCCAAATTACATTGATTCTCAATTTTTAAGAAAAAAGCACATGCAGTTCTTTGTACATGAAGATGAAAGTATTGACTTAAGAGTTGTTTCTTCCAGTAAAAAGCATCTCTGTCTGGCCAGAGGGGAGGTGCTATCAGGGGCCATAGTGCGGAGAGATGCACACTGGCCCACTGGAGGATCAAACCCATGCCCTTGGCACCACATCTGCAGGACTCCTACCATCTGTGTGCCATTTAGCATCTCAGGTCTGTCTGCTAAGCACAATTGCTCAAAAACACAGCCTCCTTCAAGTTCTTGCTGAATAAGGTTTGTTCCCAGTCAAAAAAACTCTGTGGAAGGAGTGGGAATGGATATTATTTATTTAATTTTTAAGAATAGAAAATTAGTGTTTCTTTGTTATTTCCTGGAAGTTTCTTAACCTTGAAATCCATGATTTTTTCCCCGGGAGGTGACCTACTTGAAGATCTCAGCTCCAGCAGATGACTGGCTACTGTTGGGCCACAACTGGGTTCCATTTCTTTTTATAAAGTCCATGTTATTTCTGTTAGGAGAGCTTGAGGGTTGAAAGTATGAAGAGGGAACTGGATAGCTCAGGGGCCTAGCTAATGTCATCTGATCTCTCTTTCTCTGAAGCTTTTTTGAGTTTGGCTCCTCTTCACACAGTCTGGAAATATGCACGGGTCCTGCAACAGTCATTGACAAGTGGGCTCTGGAGTCCACTGCCTGAGTTGGAAGCCAGGCTCCTCCACTGACTAGCTGTGAGGCTTTAGACAAATTACTTCAGCTCTCTGTGCCTCGATTTTCTTGCCTATGAAATGAAAAAAAAAATAATCTGGAAGGGTTTTTGTCAAGATTACATGAGATGATACTTGCAAAACTCTTAGTTTATATTACACCATAAGCATTCAATAAGATTTAAAAGTACAAACAATCACAGCTCAGGCCTTAAGATAACAATGAATTGGGGGGGGGGAATGGAATAAATATAGTGCATAACGCATTGGCAGAGGGATCATTTCTGGGTAAAACACAATCTGACAAATTCCTGGACCTTGAGCAGATTAGGGCCAGAGGTGGGGGTTATTATCATGCAGTTTGAGGTCAGGAAAGAAACAGAGAAAAAAGAACACCTTGAAAGAGATGAGGGAAGTCTATGGTGGTGGAATGAAGGGTAAAGAACCCCTGAAGCTGGAAAACAAGTGCCCTATTACAAAGTTGTGCCTAGGTCCCAGCCCCATGCTTGGGGACCATCTGTTTGCCTTCTGGTCTGCTATTGGGGCTGACCATCCCCAAAGTGGTCACAAAAATCCCCATAATGCCAATTTACAAGGCAAAGTTTCCAAGCTTCCTTTTTCCTTGAAAATAATAATAACTCTAAAAATGCAAACGTTTACCAAGTTCTGGTCAAACACCTAGCTGCTCTGGACCCCCCTCAGGGGTCCCAACCTGCAAGTGGCTAATCCCCATGGAGTCTTGAAGCCGCTAGCCTCCCACCGCGCCTTGCAACCAGAGAGCTCAATGATTTAGCATAGATTCTTTAGCCCAGTCTGGACTTGCCCCCTTAGACAGGCTAAAACAGCCTTTGCCATTGGGGGTCATGGGGCATTTCTGCATGCCCTACTTTCAGCAAACAGCATTGTGAAAAAAGAAAGAAAGAAAGAAAGAAAGAAAGGAGAAAAGAAAAGAAATAAATCTTAACTTATGAACACTTCTTCCTTTAGCAAAGACTCTCTTCAGAATTTCTTTATATGTTGTGTTTCCTGACCCTGAGACTTGATTTCTAAAAACTAAATATGTACATAAAAGTGTAACTTTCTATTAACCAGCTCACCTGCCCTTCTCTAGTTATGAAAAGTGATTTTCGGACTCACATTTAGCAAGTTTCAGGAAGAGTTTTACTGCTCATCTAGGAATTACTCAATTGTGTTTTAACAGGGCAAGATTTCATGCGGTGGACTTGTTAAGATTTGCATTCTTGGAAAATGTAATTTCTGTAATGACATAAATACGTCTGAATTAACGAGAAATATCGATCCAGAACATCCAACTGTATTTTTGGGGGTGGCGTGGGTGTCTGGTTTCTCCACACCCCTTCACATAGAATTTTCTTTATTTAGCGAGACCCGGTTTTCAGACAGGCTGTGGCTATTGCCGAGCTCACTGAGGCTGGAAGGTTAAGGAATGTAAGGAAGTCAAACTCTGGCGTTGAAACCAACACGGTATCAACAAAATCCACCAACATTAAAAGAAAATAATTAGAAAAGTTAAGAGTGTGTGTCAGAAATGGTGAGTTCAAGGTCCATGTGAAGAATTGGTTAGGAAAATCTTCTCACAGGAGTTAGAAATTTCGTAATTAAAAAAAGAAAGAGAAACAGGAAATAACCCCCCACATAGCATTTAGACCCCAGAGTGCCGATGCGCAGAAAGCTATCTGAGCTCAAGGGAAAGTAAGCAGTTTCAGGACATTTTAAAAAGTGCTTTTGCAGTGCAAACGCTTAGAATGTGCTTAGTTTTAGGCTCAGACTCCCTTTGCCTTAATCTCTTCAAGGGGCGCCTTACTAGTTCTCAAGGTTAAAGCGCGTTTGTCAGATTCATTTAAATGGGGCAACGGACCCATTGCGTTTCGGGGAAAACGGAGGCAAACATCCTTGGTCCCGGAGAAACGTTTAGCAATGAATGAGCGAATGAATGGAACCCAGCCCCAGCGCTGGAAACTAGGAAGGAGCCAAGAACTTGCCCTGAGCTTTGAGAATGCTGGAATCTGCAAACTTGGGACACGGGGCAGCCTGGGCTTCAGAATCTCAGTCTCTCTCTCCTAACTCCCAGCACCTGTTCACAGGTGCAGTTCTTAGTGAGCGGACCCGGCTTTGCATCAACTCGTCCGGGGCTTGAGGAGTTGTGGCCCGCCTCCAGGGGACTTCGCAGCCACTGCATCCACTCTGTGCTGCCTTGGGCTATAGAGGTTTTGAAGGCTGAACTCTGGAAAAGCTCATTACCCTCTCCCCACCAGCACCAGCTCGCCAAGATCTGCTCCCTAACACAGTGGCAAGTCACTTCCTTCTGACTTGAGGGATCCCTGCAATAAATGGACCAATAACATTAGAAGAGCACAAAGAGGAAAAATAGGCATGTAGAAAAGTCACTAGTGTTTCCTGAGCAGCCGAGGACGCGGGCTGTTTGGACTGTGGCAAAGCTGTGGGGCCCAGACTGGGAGCGGCGCGGAACGGGACCGGTTTTCCGGGGCTGGCAGCTGCCTAGAAAAGTTTCCTGTGGAACACTCGCCAGCAGGGGCGGGGGTGGCGGGTGCAGCAGTGGACGTGGGAGGGGGCGAAAGGCGGAGGGGTCGCGAGGGGCTGGCTCGCAAACCGTTATAGTCCTTCAGCACCTCCCTGGGCTGGTGGCCCCCGTAGCCCGCCTCTCTGCCGCGCGGCTGCCCACCTGGCGACGTGACGCTGCACCAATCCCCTTCGAGCTGCTCCGGGGGGCCCCCCCTCGCACCGCCCCCCTCCCCACCCTGAAAGAGGCGCACCCTGCCAGGGCAGACGCTGCGCTCTGGCCGGCCGAGCACCCTCTCGCTACTTGGTTTCAGGGACCTACGCTCAGGCGCTTCTCTCCTCTTAGCCAAACTTGCTTTCCCGCCTCTTGAACTCCCGCTTCCCTCCTCTCCCAGCTCTTTCTCTCCACTTTCCGCTCCTCCATCCCTAGAACCCTCAATCCTTGTCCCCCACTCTTTTCCCCTATCCACTCTCCTTTCCCCTTCCACTTCTTCTCCGCTTCCACTTCAGACTCCCCGCGCGCGTCCACCTCAGTCGCCCGCTCCCATTCGGCTCGAAGCCATGGCGGGACCTGGGGGCTGGAGGGACAAGGAGGTCACCGATCTGGGCCACTTGCCGGTGAGTAGAAATCACCCACTGTCCCCAAAGTGCTCTCTTCTGTGGGTTCACAGCACCGGGGGAGGGGGCGAACACCTATAAACCAGGCTGGGCCAGGAATTCGACGGTACAGCGCGTGCTGGAGGGGACCCTGGGAGCAGGCATGCGGAAAAGACGCCCCCTGGGCACCGGGTCGTGTCAAACCCGACAGAAAGGCTAAGGGATGGTGGTGGTGGTGGCACAGGGGTGGTGCAGGCCCAAACAACGTGCCCCTGGACCGCTTAGTCTAGAGACGCTGTGGTACCTGTCCTAGCCAGGCCCAAGGCTAGGCAAACAGTGCGAGGACTCGTGGCTTCCTGAAAATGCTCCTTGCTGCCACTCCCTGCCGCCTGTTCTTTGCTTCTTTTGCCAGCAGCGGAGATGCCCACTCGCGGGGTGACTTTTACTTCTAAATGACACCGGCTAGGAAATTAATCAAAGTGTGTTGGTCTTACTTTCTCACCCTCTAATAGCAGTTTCTGAAACCTTCTTGAATAGACTGGACAGCATCTAACAACAAAACCTTCTTATTCTTGCCAGGACAATGTTTCCTAGCTATGTTGTGGCATCAAAAGAACTCCATGCCGCTTAGAGAAGAAGTGAATTCTACACACACCCCTTAAAAGAAAAAATTCAACTCCCTGGCTAATCAGATATTGCTGTTTCTCATGGTTTTCGTTTGTCAGGTTTCCTTTACTCGAACGCCTAGCTTTCCTCCGGTACTGTGATTGATTGGTAAGCTATTATTGCCATTGGTATTAGTAGACTTATTATTTTAGTGGCGTCGTTTATTTTATTGGCATCTGGTTCCTGGCTGATATTGGATCCCACCCAAATCCGTTTTCAAGTTCCCTTTTTAGATTGGCATTTCACTCGCACTCTCTCTTGAATGCAAAGGGCCCCTGGACTCTCAGAAAAGGAATAAGCAGGCACCATGCTGGAATGATCGCCAGGCAACTGTAGTTCAGGGCAGTGGCCTGCTTGCTTTGGGAAAAGCTAAAAATTAACCTTTAGGTTATGGGACTATTCAAAGTTGCACTGCCTTAATTTTATACATATCTGGCATTTAAAGATTGTCTTCTTGATGATGGCAGACACCTGACCCTTCAAAAAAATGGAGTGTTCCGAAAGCCTTGCCTATATATTTTTTATACTAGAATGGGGTATGGACCCAGGGAGGTAACGCATCTGGGTAACATTTTAGTAATTCTTAGCCATTAAAACACACACACACCCCTCAATGCAAACATGTTGAATTACAAATATTAGCATTGTCGTTATTGATGCGGCTTCCTAAAGTGAAGTCACAGAACTTTTTTTACATTAATTCTTTCTCCACCCCACTTAAAGCAGAATTCTTTAATTGCTGTGTGCACACATAAGATTTCTGGAATATGGGGACCTCGATTGGTGGTTTCCTTTCTGAGCACAACTTTCATATCCAGATTAGATTTGCTCCCAAGTACAAGTGTAAAACGAAAGAATGAAATGTTACCCTCCTCCAACATTCTTTGTGTACAGTGGAAGAAAGAGGGGGAAAAAAGTAAATTAGGGCAAATATGTGAAACCACACATGGGCAAAGTGAAATAAACTACTTTCTAAAAATGACAGAGAGTAGGAAAGACCTCATAGAAATGATAGGGCAAGGAATTTGAAACTCAAATAGAAAAAGAAGAAAATATTTTATTGCCACAAAAAAAATGGGGGGAAATGGCCCAGACTAACTGAGCCAGTCACAGCTCTGGGATAAAAGAATTTGGTGAGAGCCGAGGAGATAAGAGGAAAGGCTTCAGTCTTTACACTGCAGTCCAGTGGAGTATTAGTTTTCTGGAGGTGAGGGGAGGTGGGGTGGGGGAGAAAGATGAAGTTGGTTTTTAAAGTAGGAGCAGTAGAGAGAAGACATTGTAACTTAACCTTTAGGGACACAGAACTTCAGGGAATCGCTGCTTGGGCTCATTTCATAGACTTCATGAAAGCTTCATAGAGGTTTCGGCTTCTAAAAATTACTAAATTTCTACACTTATATGGAAGCCATTTTGTCTCATTGTGGAGGGCTTAGCCATCCAAGCAAATTATGCATAATTCTCTCCTCCAAATCCCCAAGAAATCTAGTAGAAGAACAGCACCCCCTTGAAACTTTCCTTCACATCAAGTTTTCAAAAAACCTGAAAAGTCCACTGTTGCTTCAGTCACGGAGGTATGTATTAGAGATTTGGGATTCCTTTGCATTTTATTGGGAGCTCTAGTGACATAGTGCCTAAGGCATTTGACTGCTAACCAGAACACTTGCAGTTCAAACCCACCAGCCACTCCTGGGAAGGAAAATTGGGCAACCTACCTCCGTAGTCATACTGCATCGGAAACCCAAGGAGGTTTTTCTATGAGTTGGATCTGACTCAAAGGCAGTGAGTTTGGTTTTTGGTTTTTGCATTTTATTTATTTCCTGAGCCTCCAATGAAGTAAAAGTAAATGAAGAGGCCAAGAACTATCTAAATCAGTAGTTTGGAAATTTTAGTTTTGATGCAAAGCAGAGATGGAGGTGATAAAGCAAATAAAGAAGCCTACATATGGGAAGGGTACCTTGCAATAAAGTTGCAGAAAGTTGGCATCTGTTAGTATACCAAGTGTACTAACTGGCAGTAGCAGACAATAAGGGAAGATTCAGATCTTAAAGAATCCAAGAATTTTGGATTAAAGAATCGTGCAGAGAAGAGCAGAATGATTAAGGATGAGTCCAGTTCGAGCACTGATGAATCATGCCCTTTATAGGGCTGGCCAGCGAAATGACCATAAGACAAGACCCCTTGGGAGAAGCTAGGCTTTCTGTGCCAATTGAGACTTAAAGAAAGTTGAGGAAGTGTATCTATTCTTTTTGTTAGTAGATAACAATTAGGGATTTTTTAAAATATACTTTAAATTGTGAGCAGGATTAGGCAGCAGTGAGTTTATGTTAATGGTGGAAGAATAGTACAGAAAAGGAGGGTGAGAATAGTTGCACAACTTAAAGAATGTAATATATGTCACCGAATTGTACATGGAGAAATTGTTGAATAGAGCATGCTTTGCTGTGCGTATTTTCACCACAATATATTTTCCCCCCAATATTGTAAGCAGGAGTGAAATCTGGGAAAGTATAGAAGTGGGGGTGGGGGGTGAGGGGGGAAAACTTCGATTTTTTTCTTTTCAGATGCCTTAAAGTTAGAGACCCAAGAGACCCAACCTAATTATCAGAGACCAACAGGTCAACTCCAGTACATGTTAATTAATAGGTGGCTCTAATTTTTCCTGACTTACTGTTGAATAAGTATTTCTTATTGGTGATAAAACAAACAGAAAAATCCAGAAATTTGTTTGTGATTGAATTTAGAAAAAAGAGTTGTGAAGCCTCATATGTTTATACATCTCTCTCTCTCTCTCTCTCTCTCTCTCTGTGTGTGTGTGTATTTGCATGTTCAATATACCTGTAGCAATATCTGGGCATGTATGTATATGTGTATGTGTGTGTGTGTGTGTCTGTTGTCTAATATGCTTGTATTTCCCAAACCTTGAGACTGGAAACTATTTCTTCATCTCCAAATCTGGCATGTCTTTCACTATGATAGTCTCCTTTGCCTTCTGTGCCCAGTATGGTAATGACATTCCTCACGGCTGTGGCCTTGGTATTTGACACTGCCATGTGTAGTCCTAATCTATATTGGGGTCAGGATTAGACAGGCCTGGGGACAGTAGTGGCAGAGGTGATCTGAAATAGCACATGATCCAAAATCTATATTTGAATTACATTAGGTTTATATTTAAATATAACTGCCAGCTTTCCCAGCCTTCTACCACCCAGGCCAAGGCTGCTTTTGACACTTCACTCATGAAATCCTTCCCACCTTATCAAGTCCCTTAGCCTCCCTGTTTTGAAGTAGTGTTACCTTTGAGTCTACTAGGATTGATACCAATTAGGTATCCTACAGCATCACCTTAGTATGACATTTTACTTCGATTTCTTTTCTTTTTCCAATCTAGAGCAATAGTGTTCACATGTTGGTGAACAAAAATCATCTGGAAAATCTTGTTAAAATGAAGATTCCTCAGACCCACGCCCAGAGATTCTAATTTCATCGTTCCATGGTTGGGCCAAGGAATCTGTATTTTTCACTAAATTTCCTTGATGATTCTCAGGAAGAGGGAGTCCATGCAGCGCACAATTAGAGACACACTGGTCTGGAGGAAGAGATTTGCCTTTCTAAACACTCCACTTGAATTGTGAAGGACATTCCTCCAATTAGCTCTGAAACTCATTCTGGCCTTCTCTTTGTCATATCCGCGATCTTCAGTTCCTTGCTTCATAAACTCTTAATAAAACCACTATTTGTAGTATTGAAATAAAGAAGAAAACCTCTGCTATCTCCTTCTAGGTACTGTGTAATATCTTCCTTTTGCTGTCTGGCTACTGGGACATGTTCCATCACTCTGCTTTACTGTCCCAAATCTGAAATCACACCTCAAACTTGATCAGCAACTTTCTCGCTACCCATATCTACCATTTATTGGTCCTCCTTCTCCTTAATCTCTGCCATATTTAGTCCTGTCTATCATCCTCTGCCTCTGAAAGTCCTCCCTTAACCAGTAAACACTGCCTTCTAGTGGTTCTTTTTCTTCCTGTTACCCCCTGCCCTCAGCCCTTAATAAAAGTATCCATCATGGTCCCTACTCTTTCCCCTTCCCTTAGATTTCAAAAGGCAGAAACAACCCTCCAAAATTCTGTGTTTCAGGGAGCAGCCCGACTAGGATTTCTAAAGTGCAGGAGATTATTTTGATTCGTAGAAAGATATAATGAACACATCAATTATTTGCCTAGTAGTTTATGTTTTGAAAACGTTTTATGACTGAGATATTTAGTAATTACTTTTAAGAACAACTTTCACAAAATTAGAGTTTCTTGTTTACTGCTCATATTGTTTTCTCAAATGAGATACAAAAGCATAATGAACCCTCAAGTCTCCAAGCTGCTACAGCAGTCATAGATGCAAAGACCTTTCCTCTTCTGGTTTTCTTCTTATCTTGGGCGGAAGAGCAGAGGAAAAGACCAAGTCGTCATGGAGTCTCCTCTAATGGAGATCTCTTACATTCTCTGTGACCAAAAAAGAGGGTTCCTTTACAGTGCTTTCTTTGTTAGGATCCTAGAATGAACTTGCTCTGACTATAA